AAATGAACAGCTGCGCGTGTCTGTGGCATCTGTGCTCTCATCGCATGCTATCGAGTAAAAATCAAAAGCACAAGCTTTGTCTCTCAGCTGAAGTTTCAAGTTAGCTGACAAGTCCTCGATTCTCCGCACCACTGTATTTCTGGATAAGCTCATCGTTGTTGAAATCCTGCACTTTTTCCGGGCACATTATTTCGTGACTTTCATGAGGCACTGCTTTATGAAATCACCGTCTGAGAGCGTTTGCCGTGCTGGGCAATAAGTTCAGCGACTTCATAGCTTGCTGTTGTGGGCGTTTTCCTGTATTTTGTTAGCACGAAAAAAAAACTGTTGTTGAGCTTGCAGGCTAGCTGCCATTTGCTTGACTTTCTGTATTCGTTCGGGCACCCGGTGTACAATGTGTAGCTCTGATGTTTGGTCTCATAGTGCCGACGGACATTATACTCTTTCATCACAGCAACATCTTCATTGCAAATCAAACAGACAACTTTCCGTTGATTTCTTGAAGAAATATTCATTTTCCCACCGTGTTTGAAATCTTCTACACTCACTTGCTATTTTGCGTTTCTTCGGTGCCGCCATTTCTGGTGACTCGCGGTAAAAGTTTTTCTTTGCTTAATTTTGTTTAGTGGAGAAGCACCGTTTCCGTGGCTGGCTCCATCTAGTGTTGAAACTGAGAAGTGCAACAGAGTTGAGCTCAAGCTTCTTGTGCGGGTCATATTCAATTATATTTTCAGAATTTGCTGCGGGCCAATAAAAACTGGACCGCGGGCCACAGTTGGCCCGCGGGCCGTAGTTTGGACACCCCTGATCTAGACAGTGTTGTTAAAATCTTTTTGTTATAATAATGAGGGCAATTAACCGAAAAGTATCAAAACCGACCATTAGAACCTCTCACCGACTTAATCTTGCTCATGTCGGTTCATACTTTCCTCAATGCCTGCGCTGATGAACTGTCCCCTTAAGAAAAATACAACCTTGTTTTCATTTACGCGCCTCCCCCCCGTCCATGTTACGTTAGTCCGCCATCACTCAAAGCGAAGCTGGCGATATGGATGACACGAGTTCAAACGTTACTTTAGTTGTCCACACTACTCCGGAGTTTTCAAGTCCCTAAAATGAAGACTTTTAGAAACGCTGCTGGACCCATTTTAGTTTGAAAACTCCGGGTTTGTGTTTTAGTCTGGACTGACAGAAACAGAGACTTTTGGAAACGATGATACAGACACACACCTCACCCCCTGATCCTGATCAGTCACGACCACCAGACATTGGTCACTGCAACATGGATAACGAGATAAAATAACACAACCAACTTGTAGAACACAAACACAATCACATTGCCGAATATTAAGAGCATGGCTCATAAAAAGAGAGAGACCAATAAGTGCCAAAGTAATCCTTCAGTAATAGTAATCAAGATTAAATAATCATGGTATTGATTTGAAGTCATATCACCCAGCCCTAAGAATAATAACTGAAAGCTTTTTTATTTAAAAAGAAATGTATTCATGTTCACAGAGAGAAGAGGAGAGGTGTCTCTGTGGAGGAGCAGCTGTCCAGCTGTGCTCTGTGTCAGGACGTCCTGAAGGATCCAGTCTCTACCAGCTGTGGACACTGGTTCTGCAGACAGTGCTTCACCTCATACTGGGACCAGTCTGGTTCTTCAGGAGACTCCTCCTGTCCCCAGTGTGGACAAAGACCCAGAACAAGACCTGGACTGCAGACAGCCAGTCAGACCAGCACTGAACAAAGTGAGACTGAACATCTGTATGATGATGTCATCATTTCTGAAACCAGGACCTGTTGTTTTATACAGAGTCATTTGTTACATCACACAGCATCGACCTTTAAGATGATTATAAATACCACAACATTAAAACCTTTTCTCTGTTTGTCTTTAGTTTTTCTGCAGCTGATGAAAATAATCATCAGATTCTCAGATTGTCTTTCTTCAGTCTGACGTTGTCTCTTCTCTTTCAGCAGATAGTGGTCTGCAGGAGGTTTTACATCAACATAAGATCAGTCTGAGGAGCAGATGTGAACATGTGACTGAAGGAACTGATGGAACAGGAAGTGGAACCCTCCTCAACAGGATCTACACTGAGCTCCACATCACAGAGGGACAGAGTGAAGAGGTTAATACCCAACATGAGGTGAGGCAGCTGGAGACAACTTCCAAGATGGAGACCCTCCATGACGCTCCAATCAGGTGCCACGACATCTTTAAAGTCTTACCTGACCAGCAGAGACCCATCAGAGTGGTTCTGACCAACGGCGTCGCTGGCGTTGGAAAAACCTTCTCAGTGCAGAAGTTCTCTCTGGACTGGGCAGAGGGCTTGGAGAACCAAGATGTCAGTCTGCTGGTTCTGCTTTCGTTCAGGGAGCTGAACCTGATCAGAGATCAGCAGTACAGTCTTCTCAGGCTGCTCCATGTTTTCCATCCAACATTACAGAAGGTCACAGCAGAGCAGCTCGCTGTCTGTAAAGTTCTGTTCATCTTTGACGGCCTGGATGAAAGCAGACTGTCACTGGATTTCAACAACAGGGAGGTTGTGTCTGATGTCACACAGGAGTCATCAGTCAACGAGCTGCTGACAAACCTCATCAGGGGGAATCTGCTTCCCTCGGCTCTCGTCTGGATAACTTCCAGACCTGCGGCGGCCAATCAGATCCCTCCTACATGTGTGGACAGGGTAACAGAAGTACGAGGCTTCACTGACGCCCAGAAGGAGGAGTACTTCAGGAGGAGATCCAGTGATGAAGAGCTGTCCAGCAGAATCATCTCACACATCAAGACGTCCAGGAGCCTCCACATCATGTGTCAAGTCCCAGTCTTCTGCTGGATCACTGCTACAGTTCTGGAGCACATGTTGACCACAGACCAGAGAGGAGAGCTGCCCCAGACCCTGACTGACCTGTTCTCACACTTCCTGCTGGTTCAGACACAGAGGAAGAAGAACAAGTACCATGAGGGACGTGAGACGAGTCCACAGGAGCTGACGGAGGCTGACGGGGAAGTTCTTCTGAAGCTGGGGAGGCTGGCGTTTGAACATCTGGAGAAAGGAAACATCATGTTCTACCAAGAAGACCTGGAGCAGTGTGGTCTCGATGTCACAGAGGCCTCGGTGTACTCAGGACTTTGTACTGAGATCTTCAGAAGAGAGAGTGTGATCTTCCAGAAAACAGTCTACTGCTTTGTTCATCTGAGCGTTCAGGAGTTTCTGGCTGCAGTCTTCATGTTCCACTGTTACACCAACAGGAAGACAGAGGTCCTGGAGAACTTCCTGGGGAAACAACATGTTGATTTAACCCTGGATGTCTTCCTGAGGGCAGCCATGGAGAAATCCCTCAAAAGTAAAAATGGTCACCTGGACCTGTTTGTCCGCTTCCTTCATGGCCTCTCTCTGGAGTCCAACCAGAGACTCTTAGGAGGTCTGCTGGGTCAGACAGAGAACAGTCCAGAAACCATCCAGAGAGCCATCAACAACCTGAAGAAGATGAACAGAGATGATATCTCTCCTGACAGAAGCATCAACATCTTCCACTGTCTGATGGAGATGAAGGATCACTCAGTTCATCAGGAGATCCAAGAGTTCCTGAAGTCAGAGAACAGATCAGAGAAGAGACTCTCTGAGATCCACTGCTCAGCTCTGGCCTACATGCTGCAGATGTCAGAGGAGGTTCTGGAGGAGTTGGACTTGGAGAAGTACAAGACATCATTGAAGGGACAACGAAGACTGATCCCAGCTGTGAGGAACTGCAGAAAGGCTCGGTGAGTCCAGATTAGGGAAATTTGATTAAAGGTTGGCAGAGATATGACTTGATTTGTTGTTTGGCACCCCTGACACACGATCAAAAAGGGAGAGGGAAATGCAAATTTCCGTATTGCAGTGCAAAGTGCCAAAGGACACCAGGTTTCTGGAGCTACCTCCTGATGCTTCGCTGCAATTTTCGAATTGCCTGTGACAGATGAAGGCTTTGCAAAATCAAAAATCCATGTGATAACTTTTGTGAGGTTTGGTCTGAAGATCATCTGTGCCTATTTAGTGAAGTAGCAAAAAAATCCAATATGGTGGAAATTGACATCGTACGATGCATTGAACTTGGCTTGATCCAAGGAATTCAATTAAAATTGCTGAAAATCGGGCGTATGGTTCAAAAGTCAACTTTGACCTGTTGGTGCCGCTAGAGCACTTGAGGCACGGACATAAAACTTGAAAACCGTGAAAAGCATTATGGGAGTGTCTTGACTCTGTGTACCAAATGTCACAACTTTTTACCATGTGGTTCTAGGGGCTACCACAGATTCAGATGGTAGAAGAAGTTTACAGATGATGGAGAATAGGTAGAAACACAATGCATGCCTACGCTTATGTGTCTTCCTAACTGCTAATGACAGGTTAGCAAGGAATAGCAAGGTTAATAACTGACATAGAAGGCTGGAACATCCTCTGGTGTGACAGTACAGGTGTCACAAAGTCTCTTTCAGAAGCATTTAGATAATGAAATATTTGTTTATTACCTTTTTATTTTTATTTTTTACCATTTTCAGTGTTTTAAATGCGAATGTGAATCACATGATGAGGAATAAATGTGACATCATTTTCCCTCCTTCATCTGCAAAACAAAGATTCACATTAAAACTCTGCAGGTCTGAGAGAGTGATGAGGATTATTGTTTCATGTCAAACACAGTGAGAGAAGATGAGCTGAACCCCAGATGTGAAGAGCAGATGTTCATCACATCATCATGTTGTGTCATCATATGCATCCACTGTATTTTTATTACAAATTCAATCTGATTTTATCCTAATACATTTTATATTTTCTCTCATCACAGACTTTCTTATTGTGGACTCTCAGAGACTCACTGTGAAGTTGTGGCCTCAGCTCTGAAGTCCAACCCCTCCCATCTGAGAGAACTGGACCTGACTGGAAACAACCTGAAGGATTCAGGAGTGAAGGAGCTGTCTGCTGGACTGGAGAGTCCAAACTGTAGACTGGAGACTCTGAGGTCAGTTTGTCTGTCTCTCTACTCATTTTTACCAAAGATCGTTTATTAGGAATTATCTGATTGATTATTAATGATTTTATCTACATCTTTTATTCTTTATTCAGATTGAAGCGCTGCAGGTTGTCAGAGATCAGCTGTTCTTCTCTGGCCTCAGCTCTGAAGTCCAACCCCTCCCATCTGAGAGAACTGGACCTGAGCGACAACAACCTGCAGGATTCAGCAGTGAAGGGCCTGTGTGGTTTTCTGGAGAGTCCAGACTGTAGACTGGAGACTTTGAGGTCAGTTCATCTTTTTCCCACAACTGAACCTAATTTATATTGACAAATAACTTGAATCATTCACTTTGATGTAATGAATGACATTTTAAATAGTTGTTGTCTCGTGTTTCCAGTTGTTCTTCTCTCAGACTGAGAATGATTCTTCAGTTGTCATGAATAATGTCTGTTCCCCTCAGTTAAATCGTCAGAACTCACACTCGTGTTTCTCTCAGTCAGACGACTTCTAAATTTCTTTTCTAAATGAACTGTAGAAAATGTCCACTGTTAGTTGTTAGGGTCAGTTTCTATTTCATTCGTCCTGACCACCAGAGACGGTGTGTAATAGCTGGATATGCAACACGATAGCTCAAGAAGTCAAGACATAATACCAACAAAGTCACGTGTGACCTCGGTGACACAAGCACCCTGATAAAGAGGCGTGTCACCCAGCAGTCGGCTCCTTTTCATCTTCACGCAGGTGGTGTAAGCTGTTAGCATGAACTAGCATCAATGCTTACCGCCTATGCCAGTAGCCTCGCAACCTATTGGTTGGAGCAACGTTTCCTCTAGAGGCTTCATAGCCGATGCTCATTTCCCAAGTTTTGTCGGAACTAGGACCGCAAAATGTTTGACTTTTCCGGGGAAGTAAACATCTTTATTTCCCCGGTGGATGTTCCTTGTTACTGCCTACTGTCTCCCCTCATTGCGGGCAGGTTACTAGTGTGCGCTGTATTGGCTGTGGGCTTTTTACCTTGACCTGTCTATTGTGGCATTAGGGAGTCTCTTTTCTGATGGGGAAGAACTAGAGCAGGAGGAACCAGAACGGGAGTCCCCTATCTCCTCTGTAATTCACACAGGTTAGGAGCACACTCCCTGAAGGATGCTGAGGCTGGTCTTTCCACAGTTAAGCAAGCCATTCAGTCGGCCGTATCATGGTTGTCTGGATGCTGCCCATGCACCTTTGGCTGCATGTTTGGCCCTTTAAAGGACCAGGCGCACTATTGAGTTTGTGTGATCCAGACTGTACTTACTGCTCGGGCACTAGTGCTCTGTTGGTGCACGGATCAAGATGTGGACCCAGAGTGTTGCTCTGTGTTTGTTTTGCTCAAATGTTGATGAATATGGGTCTGTTGGTTTCTGCCTCAATGTGTACGTTGCTGCCATCTCGCCTCAGCATGTTGTGGTGGACAATTGGACTGTGGGGTCACATCCTCTGGTGAGTCATTTTCTGAAGGGTGCTCTCCGGTTGTGGCCCCCACATGCTGTACGGGTGCCTTCATGGGATTTGCCTATTGTCCTAGAATCTCTATGTTCCCCACTGTTTGAGCCCCGGGAACCGGCTGTCTGGTAAGACTGCCTTTCTCCTCGCTGTTGCAAAGCAAAGCTTGTTGGTGAGCTTCATGGCTTGTTCATTGCCAAGGATTGTTGAAGTTGGAACTCTGATGGGTCTGGGGGTTTTCCATGTGGCCCACCCCCACATTACTTTTGAAGAGGCTTTCAGCTTTTCATATCAATCGGTTTGGCTGTCTTTGCCCCACAGATGTCAGACTGCTTTGTCCCGTTCAGGCTGTCAGATGTTACATAGATGTGTCAGCTGGGCTCTGTAAGTCAGATGCACTGTTTGTCTGTTATGGTGGGCACAGGAAGGGTTCTGCCAAACAGAGGCTCTCAATCTGGGTTGTTGATACCATCTCACGGGCGTACAGGCTCAGGGGCCTCCAGGTTGCCCGACTAGGAGTGTCTCCACCTCCTGGGCTCCCTTGAGTAACATCTGTGCTGCTGCTGCTGCTGCTGCTTGGGCTTCCTCCTGTACCTTTGCCCACTTCTGCAGGGTTAATGTGCTCCTTACGTGCTTCTTGAGTCTGCAACCATGGCACGGTGAGTGTGGATACTTCCTGACTTCGTTGGTATGGGTATTACATACCGTCTCTTACAGTCAGGAAGATTGAAATAGAATGAGAATTTCGTGTATATCTACGTTAACTGTAAATTTTATAATATTGTATGACAAAGTCACTCTACTCATTTTTTTATTTACATGTTTTATTCTTTATTCAGACTGAGGTTCTGCATGTTATCAGAGATCAGCTGTTCTTCTCTGGCCTCAGCTCTGAAGTCCAACCCCTCCCATCTGAGACACCTGGACCTGAGTGGAAACTGGGACCTGCAGGATTCAGGAGTGAAGGGTCTGTGTGGTTTTCTGGAGAGTCCAGACTGTAGACTGGAGACTCTGAGGTCAGTTCACTGACTGTTACTGTTGTAGATCTTATATCTTTAATCAACAACTGAAGCTGATTTATCTTCACATAGAAGAAGGACATATCTGATCTATTATCAATCATTTTATCTACTTCTTTTTATTCTTTATTCAGATTGATGAACTGCAGTTTGTCAGAGATCAGCTGTTCTTCTCTGGTCTCAGCTCTGAAGTCCAACCCCTCCCTTCTGAGACTCCTGGACCTGAGCTACAACAACCTGCAGGATTCAGGAGTGAAGGAGCTGTGTGGTTTTCTGGAGAGTCCAGACTGTAGACTGGAGACTCTGAGGTCAGTTCACTGACTGTTACTGTTGTAGATCTTATATCTTTAATCCACAACTGAAGCTGATTTATCTTCACACAGAACTTGAATCATTCACTTTGATTTAATGAATATGTTTTTTTAATTTGTTTTTTGGACATTTCTGCCTTTATTATGATAGTGACAGTGAGAGAGACATGGGTAAGTTAGGGGAGAGAGGGGGATTACATGTACCCAAGGGTCATACCTGGGTTGCTGCCATAAGGACTCATTGATTGGGACATATCTGATTGATTATAATTGATTTCAATCTCTATGTTTTAATCTTTGTCCAGGTTGAAGTTCTGCATGTTGTCAGAGATCAGCTGTTCTTCTCTGGCCTCAGCTCTGAAGTCCAACCCCTCCCATCTGAGAGAACTGGACCTGAGTCACAACAAGCTGCAGGATTCAGGAGTGAAGGAGCTGTTTGATCTTGTGGAGAGTCCAGACTGTAGACTGGAGACTCTGAGGTCAGTGTGGGGGGTGGGGTGGGGGGGTGGAGTCAGTCCATGCTGCTCTCTGCAGTGTTGTAGTAAACTCAGTATCAGAGCAAAGATCCAATGTTTCCTGTAAACCTCCATCCTTCTCAGTGAAGCTGTGAGAGGAGAACGGTGACAGGCTTCAGGATTGGACAGAAAGACAGAGAGAGAACAGTCAGCCAATCACATATCAATCTGTCTCATGAAGTCAGATGAATATTCACTCACATCCAATGACGAATGAAGTCACCTGATGACGAGCCAGATATCAACAATACCATCTGACTGTATTTACATATAAGGCAATGTATACAAAATAAAAAGCAAATTACAAGAGGTTGGAAAAAGAGTCCTCTAGTAGAAGTGGTGTCTTTTAGTTTTCTAGAGATCTGATTGGTTGAGAGGCAGCGTGTTTATACATTTTTGATCTGATGCTTTAAGTCTAACCTGTTTCAGGGCTGGTTACCATGGAACCGTGATTATCACCGCTAGGATTAGTAAAGCTAACTCAAACAAAACTTTGTAACTGATGTTGTTGTGTTTGTTCCTGCAGAGTCAACGGCAGAGAGATTAAAGCTTCCACAGACAAAGCCTGTGAGTACTGCAAGTGTCTGCTCTTCATCTGTCTGTTGTCCATGTGTAGTGTGATTATAGATCAGCTTTAGGTTCTATATTAATACTGTGAAAGTATCAAAGCCTCAGTCCACAGAGACATGCACACAGCCTGTATTCAGAAACTGAGCCTTAAAACCAGCCGTCAGGACTTCTGGAACTTTGTGATGTCACAACAAAGCAGTCACCAAGCCCCGCCCACCTGGACCCACCATCCAAACCTTGCAGGATTTGGTTTTTCTGAGTGTTTTTACCTGAAATCTGCTATATTTTTATTGGATCACTCAGAAAACAGTCAGCCAATCAGAAGAGAGGCTCAGAGCCTCCTCTCTTCTGATTGGCTCACAGACCTGTTGTTACTAGAGCTGCAGAGAGAAGCCTGAGAGAGGAGATGTAAAACTACACTGCGATGGTTTTTATATCTTCTTATGGATCAACACTTCGTCTTCGTCTTCATCTTCGTCTTCGTCGTCTCCCGCTTATCCGGATCCGGGTCGCGGGGCAGCAGCCTCAGCAAAGAGGTCCAGACGGCCCTCTCCTCAGCAACTTTCACCAGCTCCTCCGGGAGAATCCCGAGGCGTTCCAAGGCCAGCCGAGAGATATAATCCCTCCAGCGTGTCGCTTGGTCGGCCCGAGGCCTCCTCCCGGTGGGACATACCCGAAACACCTCCCTGGGGAGGCGTCCAGGAGGCATCCTCACCAGATGCCCGAACCACCTCAACTGGCTCCTCTCGACATGGAGGAGCAGCGGCTCTACTCCGAGTCCCTCCGGATGACCGAGCTCCTCACCCTATCTCTAAGGCTGAGCCCGGCCACCCTGCGGAGGAAAACTCATTTCGGTCGCTTGTATTCGCGATCTCGTTCTTTCGGTCATTACCCAAAGCTCATGACCATAGGTGAGGATGTGGAACGTTGATCGACCGGTAAATCGAGAGCTTTGTCTTCCGGCTTAGCTCTCTCTTCCCCACAACGGGACCGGTTTCAGCGCCCGCATCACTGCTGACGCCGCCCCAATCGCCTGTCGATCTCCCGCTCCATCCTACCCTCACTCGTGAACAAGATCCCGAGATACTTAAACTCCTCCACCCGAGGCAGAGCCTCCCCCCTGACCCGGAGCAGGCAATCCACCCGTTTCCGGCTGAGAACCATGGCCTCAGACTTGGAGGTGCGATCTTCATCCAGCCGCTTCCACACTCGGCCGCGAACCGCCCAAGTGAGAGCTGAAGGTCGGCGTTCGATGACGCTAAGAGGACCCCATCATCTGCAAAAAGCAGAGACGAGATCCTCCCGCCACCGAACCCAAACCCCTCCACCACCCGGCTGCGTCTAGAAATTCTGTCCATAAAAGTTATGAACAGAACGCGTGACAAAGGGCAGCCCTGGCGGAGTCCAACCCCACTGGGAACAGGTCCGACTTACTGCCGCCTACGCGAACCAGATCACATCCTTTGGTACAGGGATTTAATGGCCACTAACAAGGGGCCATCCACCCATACTCCCGGAGTGCCCCCACAAGGAGCCTCTGGGACACGGTCATGAGCTTTCTCCAGATCCACAAAACATGTGGACTGGATTGGCAAACTCCATGCTCCCTCCCACACCTAGCGAGGGTAAGAGCTGGTCACAGTTCCACGCCCAGGACGAAAACCACATTGCTCCTCCTCGATCTGAGGTTCAACTATCGACCGGACCCTCTTTTCCAGTACCCTGGCATAGACGCTTTACCAGGGAGGCTGAGGAGTGTAATTCCCTGGTAGTTGGAAACACACCCTCTGGGTCACCCTTTTTAAAAGATGGGGACCACCACCCGGTTTGAACGCTCCAAAGGCACTGCCGCCCGATGTCCACGCAATGTTGCAGAGGCGTGTCAACCAAGACAGCCCTACAACATCCAGAGCCTTGAGATACCCAGGGCGATTCTCATCAACCCCCAGGGCTCCGCCACCGCGCAGTTTGTTTCATACCTCGGCGACTTCTGCCCCGGAGATTAGACCATCCATCCCCAGGTCTCTTGGCTTCTGTTTCCTCCATGGAATACGTGTTGGTGGGATTGAGGAGCTCCTCAAAGTATTCTTCCACCGTCCGACTAAATCCTCAGTTGACGTCAGCAGCTCCCACCCCCACTGTAAACAGTGTGAGCGAGTTGCCGCCTTCCCCCCCTGAGGCGCCGGACGGTTTGCCAGAACCTTTTTGGAGCCGATTCGGTAGTCTTCCTCCATTGTCTCACCGAACTCCTCCCACGACCGAGTTTTTGCCTCAGCAACTGCTGCGGCTGCACTCACTTGGCGGCCGGTACCAGTCAGCTGTGATTCCTGAGACCCACAGGCCAACCACAGCCTGTAGGCCTCCTTCTTCAGCCTGACGGCTTCCACCACCCCTGGTGTCCACCAGCGGGTACGGGGGTTACCGCCACAACTGGCCCCAGCTACCTTGCGGCCGCAGCTCGCAACAGCCGCCTCAACAACAGCAGAGCGGACAAGGCCCATTCGGACTCAATGTTCCCTCACTGCCCTCGGAACGCGATCGAAACTCTGCCGGAGGTGTGCGTTGAAAATCATCTTGACGGGTTCTTTCCGCCAGGCTTTCCCAGCAGACCCTCACAACCCGTTTGGGCCTGCCAGGTCTGCGCGGCGTCTTCCCCGCCATCTGATCCAACTCATCAACCAGGTGGTGTCGGTTGACAACTCTGCTCCTCTCTTTACCGGAGTGTCCAAAACATGCGGCCACAGGTCTGATGATACGACTACAAAGTCGATCATAGACCTGCCGACCTGGGGTGTCCTGGTGCCAAGTGCACCTATGGACATCCTTATGTTTTGAACATGGTGTTAGTTATGGCCAAGCTGTGACTAGCATAGAAGTCCAATAACTGAACGCCGTCTGGGTTCAGATCGGGCAGGCCGTTCCTCCCCACCACACCCTTCCAGGTCACGCTGTCATTGCCCACGTGAGCGTTGAAGTCTCCCAATAGGACAATGGAGTCCCCTTTCGGGGCACTTTCCAGCACCCGTCCCAAGGACTCCAAAAAGGGCGGGTAGTCTGAACTGCTGTTTCGGTGCATAGGCACCGACAACAGTCAGAACCCGATCCCCGACCCGAAGGCGCAGGGACGCAACCCTTTCGTCCACTGGGTAAACTCCAACATACAGGCAGAGAGCCTGGGGGACACCAAAAAGCCCACCCCGGCCCTCTGCCTCTCACCCGGAGCACTCCAGCAAAGAGGAGAGACGCAGCCCTCTCAAGGACTTGGTTCCGGAGCCGACGCTATGTGTCGAGGTGAGGCTGACTATATCTAGCCGGTATCGCTCAACCTCTTCCACAAGCTCCCGCTCCTTCCCGCCAAGAGAAGTGACGTTCCATGTTCCAAAAACCAGTTTCCGTAACCGAGGATCGGACCACCAAGGCCCCCGCCTTGGTCTGCTGCCCAATCCACACTGCACCGGATCCCGCTGACTCTTCCTGCAGGTGGTGAGCCCACTGGAGACGAACCCATGTAGGCCGGTTCGGGCTGGGCCCGGCCGGCCCCATGGGCCAAGGCACGGGCCCAGCGCGAACCGGCTCAACACTAACAAATAGTAAAAATAATATAATAATGATTTTGATGGACAGAATTATGTGCATATAAATGTTTCAGCTGACAGCAGTATGTGCCACATGGTCAGCTGGACTTGGAGGAACATTAACAGACTTTGTTTGGAAGCAGAGTTTCATGATCAGAATCTTTAAAACGTGGTAGTAACTAATAAATCACCTTATAGTCCAACAACAAAACATCACTTGGGTTCAGATCAGGCAGGCAGTTCCTCCCAATCACTCCCATCCAGGTTTCTCCATCGTTACCCCTGGTGAGCGCTGAGGTCTCCCGCTTTCTGTAAAATTGTTTTTAAACTAAACAAAAAGAAATTTTAATTTCAAAGATAATTAATAATAATTAATTTCAAATTTTAATCAAATGATTTTCATGCTTTCTAAATATTGTCAGTGAGTGTGCAGCCTGCTGCTGAAAAAGGAGATCTGCTCTCAGAGGGCCCGTCATCGTTACATAAAGGTAAGAAACACTGTTGACAGATGATTCTGATCAAGACTTTTTAATAATGTCCTGTGTGTTAGAGGAAACATATGTGTTGTTTACAGAGATAACAGACCTGAAGCCAAAGTGTGCGCTGCAGGCCTGTGATCCACAAACATTAAATAAATGTGTGGTGTCGGTGCAACTGATGCCTGAACAAGACACAGATACCTAAAAGAAACTAACTGCTGCCGTGGAGGAGAAGCTCACACTCCAGTCTCTTCAGATTTGACTCTCTACCGTGCGCGCTGCTGTTTATCAGAGTGTTTACAAAAACAACATGTGGCTGCAGCTGATGAATTTCACTGATAAAGGCAAGCTACAACAGCAAGCACGTCCCTGTCGTTTGACTCAGTAACAGATATTTGGACTCGTCAGCTCATGCTGATGCACAGCCAATAGAAACCAGGAGCGTCTGAGAGGAACGTGATGACAGGAGGCTTTGAGCTGCTCACATCCTCCGACTTCATTGTCTGACTCAGATCTGTGACTTCTCCTCCCATCAGGTGACTCTGATGTCAAACTGGACACGAACACAAACAGAGACAAAGCTGGACGTGTCTGAGGACGACACGAAGCTGATGAAGGTGAGAAAAACCACCGTATCCTGATCAGAGTTCAACTTTCTCATTGTCCTTAAATTCTGTCATTTATACGCCATCGTTATAATTTTATTTTAACGACAATGAGACATTTCATATTTAATAGTATTTGATTTTTCAAAACAACTGGGATTATGTATTTCTGAGGGCGTGGAGAGAAAAGATGATGAAGCAGAGACTTTTCAACATCAACACCACATGAAGGCAGGTGAAATGAATTGTTTTATCTCCAGTCACAGTGGAGGGAACTAAAACACTGTGGCCATTGAGTCCAAATATATTTATGTACTTGATGTCTTTAATATCTTTCGTATCTGCAGAATCTGCTGCTTCAAACCGCTCGGATGTCGTCTGTAAATAATGACTTCATTCAGTTCAGTGTGGACATGTGTGAGAATATCTTTGTTTATTTCTGGTAATGATGTTGTTTGATGTTGTTTCTTTGTGAATCACAGCCTCATCAAGCTTCACGCCTGAACTGAAAACTGCCATCTACACAAGTGTCATACAGGTAATCGCATAATAAAATCAGCAAACACTGTTTTCCCTCTTCTTCACGGCTTTCTGCAGAGTTGGTGGCGTCATGGATGCCTCTTGTCTTCTCTCCTTCAGTGACCAAAGTGTTACTGTTGTATTACACAATCATATCGTGTTTAAACCTCTCTGTGGGTCCTTCCTGTTTCTTGTCCGGATCCGGCGTCCGGTCCGGACTGGTCTGGTCCGGACTGGTCTGGTCCGGTCCGGTCCGGTCCGGTCCGGTCCGGTCCGGTCTGGACTGGTCTGGTCTGGTCTGGTCCGGTCTGGTCTGGTCCGGTCCTGTCTGGTCCGGTCCGTGCTCATTCAGCCTTCTGTGTCCTGCAGGTTCAGGTGTCCTGGTCCGGGCGGGTTTCCAGTGTACTTCTACTGGACTGGTGTTTGTGATGGCTCAGGAGGCGGAGCTGCTCTACAGGATCGTCCAATGGGATGAGACTCTCCTCAAATTCTGCGGGCAAGACGGCTGCAGGGCCACTGTTCGATATCCAGTGTCCCGAGGATGCTGTCCGTCAGCTCCACTCCCACACTGTGAAACTAAGGATGGTGAGTAAATGACATGTCTAATAATTACTAATAGTCCTGGTAGCGCCCCCTGTAGGCTGCACAGTCTACTACAGCCCAAGTCACACGTCTCCAATTATATAAACCAGACATTTGGTATTTCATATAGATTTTATATTGATAAAAGTACATGATGTTTAATATTATGTTGATAGTATCAGTTATGTGATCTCTGTCGTGCCATAGCTGCTTGATGTTTGAACATGAGGCCCACAGTTCTGGAAACCTTGTAACTGAGATCCAGCAGCAGCCGTGGGGCTTGAGGAGCAGCCTCCATCTACGGTTAAATGTATATTTAATTCCCTGCTGTCTGTCTCAATCATCCCTCTCTTGTTTCCACCTCCTCTGATGCTTCAACAAACAAAACAATAGCCAAAGAGAAGCTGAATAAATCACAGTAAATGGTAATAAATATGTTTGAATTCAATTACATATTAAACTGGATTAAAGATTCGACGAATGTGTCATTGACAAGAAAACCCACAGTTTGTATTTTGGCAGCTGCTGTTGTTTGATGTGAAGAGTGCAGTTACAGGAAGAGTCACTAGATGGCGGAGGGATACGCTCTGTGACTTATCTTTGTTTTCATGTTCACAGTTTGTTCCCAGTTGACTGGTGAAATAAATTATTATCATTTAAAAGAACTTATTTAAATTTGACCACATGACCTTAGTGTTGGACTTTCCAAACAAAAGTGGTTGTGATATCAACACTTGATACCATGTAGCCTCTGTTCCAAGAAGAATTTGGAAATGTAATCGACAGTTGTCAGGGCAATAAAACCAATGATTGTTATTGATCTTTACGTCGGTGCTGAAAGGAATTGTTGAAATTGAAAATTGAATCGGATCGTGACCTTGAAATGGAAAGTCAGATTGAATCCTGACACCTCAACTAAACATCGAATAAAATGATCTCTACCTTTGTGATGAGGCTGTCGTCGGGAAAACAGATGATGAATGTGTGTGGTGTTTTCACAGCTCTGCTCTCTGAAGATCTGCTGTCTGTTGTCCACATCACCGATGACGGAATGAGCGTCCTCGAACCGCTGGAGATCACAGACACTCATGTGATCGTCAAAGTCCTCATCTCTCTGCCTTTGGCCTAACCTGGGTTTCGGAGGTTTTTATGGAGGTTTTGGAACAACGTGCACCTATTAGCGGCCAAAGTTTTGCTGTTTTCCGACCACCAAACCCAAAGACACAGAGGCAGAACCTCAATGTGCTTCTCCTGCCGAGCAACGTCCTCTGGAAGAGGTAAAGACGTGTTACAGCTTCACTCTGAGCCCAGACTCATCAGCATCAATCAGATAATTGTTCTACGTTTCCAAAGAACCGGGTCATTTAACAAAGATGGACAAGAACTGGAATGAACATCACATCTCAAGGATTGTCAGAAAGCTAGAACGTATAAGAGACAATATGAAAGTGTGGATTTATCAGTCGGGCTCAACTGAGGATAGATCGTCTAACTAACATGTTCTCATGTCTCTTAAGGTGAGCAGAAAACAGCCGATGTCTGTGTACATCCCGGCGCCTTCCCAAATGCAAACTCATTAAAGATCGAAATTACACCGCTCACAGTGTCCGACGGCCCAGAAAGTACAGCCTGAGGTGAGTATGTGAAATAAAAGGTTAGTAACATGCTGATAAAATTCATCAAACTTGTAGTTTACTGTGGATACTGTCGGGACACTGACGCTGGTGCTACTGCTTTTCAGAAAGCAGAGTTTGATCTGCATTTTGGACCAAACTACCACCCACGTTTGAGATCCGGCTGCCTGCAAACACAGAACAAGCGACTGTAACGGTCGGAGACCAAACAAATGCAGATGTCTGGAGCAGAGTTTGAAACCTGACTGGTAAAGTTTCATCCACCTGCAGCATCAGTCCACCTGATAGTAGACAGGACAGGAGAGATAGTTAGTGATTGATCCACGATGCCTTTATTCTGGTTCTGCCAGAGATCATCTTCAGTTCTGCTTTTATTTCACAGTCCACTGTGTAACCAGTGTTAATGGAGTCAGTATAAAATCAAATGTATAAAATCAATGAAAAAATGGTTGTGAACTTTGACCTGTGACACAAAAGAAGTCGGACTGAAGAGCTTTGTGGAAGAAGCTAAAAGTAACATTGATCAAAGTCAGTGTTGGAAAATAAGGAGGATAATTATATCTACTCAGTTACCCTGTTTACTAGTGGCAGTAAACATTATACTGTATATGCACCCACTCATACACTATACTGTAAATTTAACACATACTTTTTCTTGTTCATCTTATAGGTCCTGATCCAGCATGGACTCCTAGTGTCCCAGCAGGGACATCTAGTTTCCTAGGATGGACATCTAGTGTCCCAGCTGGGACCCAGAGTGTCCAGCAGGGACATCTAGTTTCCTAGGAATGACTCCTAGTGTCCCAGCAGGGACTCCTAGTGCCTCAACAAGGGACTCCTAGTGCCCAGCAGGACTCAAGGTCCAGGTGGACTTCGAGTGTCCCAGCAGGGACTTCTCGTGTCCCAGCAGAAAAGAAGCTGAAGTCTGTTCGACAAAGTTCATCGACAGAGTGTCTGAACCTGTTCTCCGTAAGCTGCTGGATAAACTCCTGGAGGCGAGGGGTGATAA